ACTGTTTGTCAGACAAACTGTTGTCAGTCCGTCGATCAACATGATAATTTAACCCTTGCACTGCCGGTGTTGTTCTCTATTTTAGATTTTGGAAGGTCGGACAGCCAGATCATGGCGGTCCCAACAATGTTGAGGACTGTGTGGAGATGTATCACCATGACCCAGCGCTCGCCAACTGGAATGACGCCCCCTGTGGACACGGGCGGCGCTGGTTGTGTGAGAAAGACCCAAAATAATGGGGCACCCCTATAGCTCACCAAATTGAGCGGGCGACCCACGAACAGGGCTATAGTTCCCCAACGCAGCGGTTGTGGTTTCGACTCCCGCTCATGACCCTTTGCTGCAGGTCTCTCCCCATTCTTCTCCATCCTTTCCTGTCTCTACTGCTCTAAATAAAGGCAAAAGCCCAAAAAATATATTAAGAAAAAAAAAAAGAAAGATGCAAAATAATAAAAATAACCTGAATAAAAACTGATTATTGAGCAATGAAGCAATAAATTGATTTCGTCCATATTTTTGCAAGTTGCTCATGTACTTTTGGATAATATTCACAGGGGCACCATGTGCTAAAATCAACTTGTGTATTATTTGTTGGAAGATGATGGTCAAAGTTAGACTTCATTACCAGTGGTCAACAGAGCACCCGAATTTTTTTCATGGGAGTTAACATTCCGTTACAGAGGCCTGTTCAGAGTTGGCTATTCATTGTGTATGAAAATCAATGTCCATTTGAGATAAAATGTTGAGCTGAAGAGATTTTAGTCTGAAGTCAAATGGTGTCATTCACAAACCGATGTAACATTTATAATATTTAATGAGTTGGAAATGCTTACATAAAAATGCTTTTATGACAGTTACATTTTTTTTTTACATTCAAGGAAATACTGATCAGAAGCTAAAGATGAAGACATCAAAATCCTATTTTAGTCACAGAAATCCTCCTTATCAAAAATAGGACTTTGATCTACCTCCTGAACTGAACTCTCCAGATGTAAGACCACTAAATTTCTCGTTTGCCTCACAAATGAATCAGTGTCGTTTACTTGAGATCAATTTACAGGCAGCAAAGGAGCTGCTGCAGAGATTCATTCTTTTCCTGGAGGTTTGCTCGAAAACTAATCAACCATTTCTTGTCTCCACTGTCCTTTAAATCCAAACCCAGTCAAACCCTAAAATGTATTGATTGAAATGATGAAAACTTGCTCCTGCTCTACACAGTTTATCTGCACAACACAACAGATTCACACATTCACAGAAGCTTTTCATGAATTTGGTGAACATACCAATAGTTTAATTATTAAATCAGGGTTACTAAAACTAACAGATATAATTGAACTCCAGATGTTACTAATTATGTTGAAAGCCAAAAACAGAGTTTTACCAGGAAACCTGCAAAAGTTGTTTGTGTTTACTTCAGAAGATGAAAATCATAGAAGAAGATTTGATTTTAAGCACCAGGCTGCTCGGACTACCTTGAAACAGATGTGTATTTCAGTTGTTGGTGTAAAAATATGGAATTCCCAAATACAAGATTTAAAAGGTTGTACAGATATTTATAAATTTTAAAAAAAAAGTTCAAATGTAGAAAAAATTGTCAATATGTACTTGAAACTTAAATTGGACATTAAGGATCAATTGTGTTGAGTTTTAAAATTTTACTTGTATGTTTTTTGTTTGTTTGTTTCATTTTCTTTGTTTTATTTTGTTTTGTTATTATAATCAAAGTGGTAATTGGGTAGGTTACTGAAAATCAACTGTATGACATATCGGACCATCTTTTCTTTCTTTTTTTGTTTTCTTATTTTAGTTGTTTAAATAGGGGCCAGGGAAATACAAGAAATTTTTTTTCTTCTTGCTGCTCCTTTCCAATCATGGAGGTGTTGATCTGAAAATGTAGAGTGCATTTATGTACAAATCATGTTGTCTACCTTCATGAAAAGAACGAATAAATAAATAAATAAATTTGATTAAATCTCTACACGATTCATAAAAATAGATACTTTTTTGTGCTTAATCTGGGCAGAAATATAAACAGAGCTGAAAAGAAGAACAGATGCGGCGACAAGAGTCCACATGTCATTAAACTTAGATGAAGTGGTAAAAAGTCAAGTATTTCTCTTGTGTCAAAGGAAATACTGATCATCTAAGAAGTTGGA